ATCTTCAGTTTATCGTGTTTCCTTGGACTGTATTTGCAGTTGTTCTAGAGCTGTATATGTCAGGAAAGGTGATTGCTGTGCCTCTGACTGCAAGAAAAAGTGATCTAATAAGATTTGGCCCACACTAGGGAAAAAGATGGAGAATATTTCCAGTAACAGGTTGTAGAATGGTGCAGGTTTGTCTTTAAATCACAGGCTTTTTTACTGCCAGATATTATAATTATTTTGCCTGAAAACACAGAATGAAAGTTGGAAAATCAGAAAATATTGGTAAATATAAGGGCTGGAGGACAAAATGTGACTCATAAAATGAAGATCAAAATGTGCCTAAACCTCTTTCTGTGCTGCTATTCATGCTCATTTTAATAGGGCAAAGCAAAGGAACAGAATTGCGCGACTGGTTTAAGCTGTAATATAAATGTTAACATCAGTGAGTCAAAATCACTCATAAATATAGTTCTGGACTGTAAATATTGTAATCAGGAATATGGTCATGGTGCTTTATATAAATTAAGTAGGGCTCTTGCCCTGAGGGGTCTGGAAAAAAAACAGTAAACTAGAAATTTAAATTGGTTGCCATGGGTATCAAGTTGAGGTTCCCTGAAAACAGCATATCCATTTCTTCTAGCTCCTCAGTTTTCTTGACCTTTCAGTTCTTTCTTGGCATGTTCCAAATTGTTATAAATAAAATCCTTATGAGGGCACTGGCAAGTGGTTAGCCAAACTCGTTATGGCAGCTTTCTACATTCAGCTATTAAAGCAATAAAAGTGAGGATTGAAATGGGAGAAGATAATTGTGAGCTTTAGGAATGGTTGTCCTAAAGTCACAGCTGTCCAGTGACTGTCCTGGGATGCCAGGTGAGCTACACTGTTTGGCTCCAAGGCATAGAACCCTGTGGGCAGACCGCCCTGGCACATCACTGTTGCACTCCTGAACAAAGAAACCTTGCAGCCAGGGAGCTCTCCTCCTACAGCTGTTTTACCCAAATCTTAAAAACCAGTCTGTGATTCATTATGGGTGAGATTTGCTGCCTGAACCCTGGCTGGGAGAATGGCTGTTTTCCTCAAAGGGTACAATGCCATTCAGCATGGAGGAGTAGCAGAATTTGGATGCTTGAAGTAGTTAAAACAATTGTAGTCTTCTGAAAATTCCCACTAACATTCGGATTATTGAGTTCTTTTTTAATTTCTACTATATATTGAATGGGCACTAATGCAAAAGATTTTGTCTGCAGTGTGTGTCTCATTTGGCAGCTTTAAAGACTATTGCATTTAAAGATGCTGTATAGATACTATTTCACATGCCTATTGTCAACCTGTTAAATATATTGAGGATGATAATGAAATTAAATCCACCTCTGGCTTTTGTGACATAATCGTCTTCAAATGAACTGAATGCCAACTTTGCCTCATTTCCTTCAGCCTTTCTGTATTTCTGTTCTGTGAAACCTCACCATTAGCATTCTGAAAATGTTGATTCTCTTATTACTTCCCACTTCAGTCTTTTCAAGGTGAAATCTCTCTACTAATTCAAAAAACTTTCTGTCATCATTATGTATAAATTACTTTGTCCAAATACAAAAAACCTTAATGGAAGATAAAGCCTAGCCACATTTTATGCTTGAATAATAAATGCAGGGGATAGAAGGGGTAAGGAAGGAAGCATAAACACTTAACTTTATATTTCAAGGGTCTTTTGGGGGGCAGGGACTGAAGGTTATTTTCTAGGAAGATACAAATCTAAGGAGTTTAGAACTTTTTCTCTAAATAATTGTTCTCCTGGATCTGGGCATTTTAAAAAAAATACCATAATCATCCTTTAAATAACCATGTTTCCAAATGAACATAGTAGTGGAGAGAAATATTCTATTCTTAAGTGGCTTGGAAGTATATCAGGGAATAATTCTTGCACAGCTAACATTTTTTCATATTCATTAAATATTTTGCTCAGTAAAGTTGCTCAGTAAGAAAGACTGTCTATACTACACTGATATATTCAAATTATTCTGATGCCTTTCTCCCCATCTCATGAATTACTTCATGGATTACCAGCTTGATCAGTGAGACCGTAATAATGATGAATACATCTGTTTATTTGTAGAACCATTATCAACTATTTTTTAATTAGGGAGTTAATTGATGGGTGCCATCTCTATGTTCTATGTGTTTAATAGAATCTTCCTTACTGTTTATTATTACCAGACAAAGAAAAAGCTGGACCAGTGCAGAGTCCAGGTCTGCTGGATGCTGATGTTGCTGTACTGGCAATTAATGTGGCTGTGAATACAGTAGATTGGACTTTTTCTTTAATGACATTCCATTTGGACCCTGTCAGGAAGGCTGTACATTTTGCTTAGTATGTACATTTAAGCTCCCAATTTCTGATAGCTTCAGGAATACAAACTAAAATCAAATCACTGCATTTAATGACCTCAGTGAGTTTAATATAGCCTTGCTATATAATCAAATAATCAAATAACCAGCACAAGTGAATTACTGAATCCACAGCATATATGACAGCATGGCAGAAGCTTTTTGAGTGGCTCTGTTGCTCATTCTACTAGTTACCAGCTTACTGGATGGGAATTTTCTTGAATGAATGAATGAATATTTTCTTGAATGAATATCTCCACAGGTGATGATTGTAGAATGTGGTGATAGCCTTAGAAGCGGAGCAGATTGGGGAGGAAGAACAACATCTAAATGAGGAGGACAAATGGAGAGAAAAAGGGCATATAAGAGTGCTGAAGTGGACTTAGTATTTTATTGTTGTACCAAGTGTTGTTCATTACACTTCAATAGAATTTAATTTAGAGTATCAACTGAATGGCTGTGATTTCACTGGTTTGGCAGCAGGTACTACCTGTGGAGCCTTTATAGCCTCAGTTAAACTCTCTTTAAAATTCAGGGCAGGTATAGGCTGCTTTAGTTTCTTTTTCTAGCTATCAAAAATGCATTCAGAAGTGGAAAAAATGTAAGATTCCCAATATTTCTTGACAATAGAAGCTTTGATAAGATAAATGTTTATCTTTCATAATATTTATAAAATGCATGGAGCAAATTATGTCGGCAAATGCTTATGGGTCTCAAAGATGCAAATTCATACACTTTCTGTTTATCAATACATTTTACAATTTAAACCTCAGTATTTTATTGTTCTGATCAAATATAGAAAATTAAAATTAGACAATATGTTAATATATTGATTATTGATTTGCTTTGTGATCTTAAGTAATTTGGCTATTTTATGGGCCAGCTTCAAACTGGATATTAATGGAAACCAGCTCTTACACTTGCTTGCTTTATTTTTCACAGAAAATAATTTTTTCCTTCAGTTTCTCCTCTCCTGAAACCCTGAAGTTCTATCGGACTCCAGATAGGTTTTGTGCAATCTGCTAAAATTAGCTCGTTTTAACTTTCAAAACACTGTGCCCTTACCTGACATGTTGGGTACAATTGAGGCTTCAAATTGCCAAATTCCCACTGACAGACGGGGTGGGTGACCTACCTTTGCACACAGGCTGCAACAGCCAATAAAAAGAGCAATGACAAAAATACATGGTAGAGGAGAGTGGGGTCACTGGTTATATATAGGAAGAGTCACTCCAAAAATAGAGTAGTATTTGGAGGTGAATAACCTTAGACTATTTCAGGGCTCTTTTTTTCTTCT